CCTCCTCCCATCCTAACTTGCCCCCCAGGACCCTACCCCCTACCTGTACCCTGACTGCCCAAAACCTTATCCACTCCCCCCTGAACTCCCGACCCTCCCGTCTCTTGACTGCCCCCTCCAAAACCTCCCTGCCCCTTCTCTGAACCCCTGGCCCCCTTGTTGTTGGCCTTCACCTAACGTCTCTGTGAACTTGCTCAGGAACGGCCTGAGCAGTTCGTCCCGGCAGGCGGGGCAGCAATGGAGGAGGAGCGGGGGAGGAGCTCCAGACTGCCGGAGGCAATCTGCGAATGCAGGGAGGGAGGGAGTGATCTCTGCTGCAGGGGAAGCGGAGGAGGGGCTCTCTCTGGCTGTCGGAGCCCCATGTAAGTGGCACCAGCAAGGACCACTTTGAAAATTACAGTCCTCAAGGCTTCACCTCCAGGGAGCATGATCCAATTTCTCTGAAACCAATGCAGGGAAGTGTAAGTTACACTTCTGTGAACCTCCAAGGTCTTTTGTTCTGCAGGGAGGATTCAGCTTGAGGAAGGGCGGGTGTTGTTTGCACTTACCTTCTCTCGGGCTTCTGGTCAGAGGACAGCTTTGTAGCTTGGTAGCAGCTCCATTAGTGGGAGCCCTTGCAAAGAGGTGGTGAATCCGTTTCCTAGTCACGTACTCTGACCACGCTCTCGTCAGACCTAGAACTATCCACTTTGGGTCCATGTTGGACCCCTAACGCAGCTCCCCAGTGCATGGAAAGCTGTAGCCATTTTGCACAGCTGCAAGCTCCCACCATAGGAGGTTTGGGGGCATTTGGCTAGGGCCTATGCTGGCTTTGTAAAGCCTTATGCTCTCTCTCTCCTTGTGTCCTATTCTAATGACTCATCCAAACATTGTATTAACAAATAAAGAAATGTTCCTGTGATATGAGTCTGGAGCCTTACTTTAATGCATAGATAGCCACAACACAACCCCCTCCTTTGTTAGCTAGGGACTGAACATGGAGAATAAATTACGTACTCACCCCTACAGATGATCCCTCTAGGCGTGGGGACA